ATATATTAGAGAAGGAGGGCTACTCGCCAAGCCAACATGGGTTTCCTGGCCAAACATTTCCTTTGTTGGAGAAGGATGGTGGTCTGTTTGCCAATCCGTTGGTACTATGGTATGTCAAGTTGTTGTAATGAGAGATACATTATTTTATCACAGTTAAAGGGATACTATAGGCATCAAAACAACTTTAGCTTAAAGTGAAGCTGCATGAGACACACTTTTTCCAGTCTGTGGACTGTACCGCCAGGTACAGGTAAGTCACTGAAGGGGTTTTAACCCCTTCAGCAACTTGGGATGGGGGTGGGAGGGAGAGGGGACCTGCAGTGCCAGGAAAACAGTTTGTTTTTCTGGCACTGGAGAGTCCCTTTAAGGGAGTCTGTACAATTCCCACTCACTTCCTCACTATTACTGATGTTAAACTATAGTTATTAAAAGTTAATTTTTAAAACAGTTTTCAGTACACTTTGGTCTGGGCAAACCTTAATTCCTTTTTTTGTTGTTTAAAGTTTTATAGCGAACGGTTTGGGGAGCTGAAAACGAATAAGGACAAGAATACTATTGCGTTAGGAATACAGATTTGTAGCAGTTTGAAGCAGTTTTAGTGTGTAGATCATGCTCCTGCAGTCTCACTGCTCAATTATCTGCCATTTAGGAGCTAAATCACTTTTGCTTCTGTTTAAGCAGCCCTAGCCACACCTCCTCTGACTGTGACTCAAACAGCCTACATGAAAAAAATGGCTTAATTTTCAATCAGATTTTAAATGTTAAATATATATATATATATATATATATATATATTTATTTATTCTTCTGGACTGTAAATTGAACTTTAATCACACACAGGAGGCTGTACAGGGTCTAGAAGGCTATCAACAGAGCAGGAGATACAAAATTCTAAAGTAAACAGAATGTGCAGTAAACAGTAGATCTCTCAATGCTGGAAGTGTTTTGGAAGGCTGTGCAAGTCAGATGCAGGGAGGTGTGACTAGGGATGCATAAACAAAATTATTTAACTCCTAAATTATGTAACATTCAGCAGTGAGCAGGGGCATGATCAATATATTGATTAAGGCTAAATCAGTCTTGGTATCGAAAGTATCCCTGTGATTGTGGGTCTCCCTCCATTTTTAGTTTAATGTTATTTTTTTGTGCCCTCTATCACTGAATAGGTATAGTTTAATGTTAATAAAGGTCCAGTTCCCAATGGTGTAGGTAGATATAAGGTGGATGTGAAGGTTATTCACAGTTGGAGACTTAGAGATAAGAGTGTTTTGGGTTAGTGGGGACTTAGGGTTAGGGAACTAATGGTACAAAATACTTAGTGTTAGAGGTACCTGCCCTAGAGTGATGGGAGTAGCACAGCATCTTAAAGGCAGGCACCCACTAGCCTTAAGACCCTCCTCCCCCCCTCCAAAGCTACACTAGCTCCTAACAACACCTAAATCTACTGCACATGCCACATTGCTGTACCCAGCATCATTGCACTTATGGTGCAACAGTGTGCTTAGCGCTGTACAGATGCCTGTGACCTATAGTATAGTTTGTTTGAAGACGCCACTGTTACAGCATTTGAATAACGATGCTAATTTTTAATGTCTACACATTGTAAAGGGAACAAAAAAAAAAAGCTTTTTTTTTTCCAGATTTTAATTAATATTAAAAAATTTGCCTAAATGATGTCATCACATTCCCTATGCTGAGTGAACAGCAGGGGGCCATGGGGCAAGGTACATTTCTCCTGTAAATGGATTTACACTGCCTCAGCAAGAGGCCATTAAGCATTTCTTGCTGGCATGTATCCAACTGATTGTAGGTTTTCTTTGTACTTATTTGTGCTTCAGCCAATAAAACCATTAATCAATATGAGAGCATGTGCTGTAAACAGCTCTGGTGCTTTTTGCTCTGTGGGCTTGTGTTTCCTTTAAAAGGGATGTGCCCTGTGAAAACTGGTTAAACCAGAGCCTCTGTCTAACAAGCCCATCAGATGCAAATATAAAAAGCTGCAAGGCACAGGTAGTGTGAATGCAGTGTGTGCACTAAGTGCGCTGTCTGCATGACAAGGCTGTCCACACTGCTGGCTATTGGGATCTGTCTATTGCCCAGCCATGGACAATGATTCAAATTCCCCATCATCATGACATATGACAGGAGCAGGTCTCTGGAAACCTGAGATGTATGACTGGAATCCTCTATTCCCATGAAGAATCTAATACCATGGAAACGTGCATGCTTCTTCACAATCTGCCTCATTCAACAATTCTATCACAGTAAGTGCTACTTTATATCTGGTCATTCCACAGGACTGAGAGGTGATGGCACTCAGATAGTTAAAGGATACTGGGATGTTCATAGATGTCAATATTGTATCATTACACTGACCATTGCATTCTGTTACCCTTTATCTGATCATAAACTGTATGTTTTTTAATATATATTTAATTCATTTTGCCCAGACATATTTTACTCATATTTTTATATATAAATGTCCTTTTTTTTTTTAATCTTTTTGTAATTTTTTTTTTTTTTATACCACTGCTCACGCCTTCCCATCAGTGATATGGTCTGGTACTTGCAATGTGCTCCCATGAAGCAAATTATTGATATGTGAATTTAATCTGATAGTGATGGTTACACAGTAAGCAAGACACTGTGAGCTACACGGGGTGCTGCAATTAAACAAATGCTGCTGTTTGGAAATGATAGGTTATTTTTTGTTTAATGCAACAATGGTAATTGCGGAGATGTTGGGAGAATGTTTGTGGCTGTCTTGCCATTTTGTATCAATTTTAGATTGTTTCCTGGGCTTGTAATGTCCATTAGGTAAAGTAAACACTGGCCGGTTTAGTTAGACTTTATGTGAGATAAGAAATGGGAGTGGGTTAGTGGTAGCACTGCCCATTGTTAGGTAAATCCTCTCTTTTTTGGAAACATTCTGTCACATCGGGCATGTCCTGCCACATACCAAAATCTCATTCAAGTTGTTACCACAAAGGTGTTGTTGGGATATGCCTGGGGCAAAATGAAGCCCTACAGACATACATATTTTACCCAGTACTATATTTGGCCTATGTATTAATAAAGGGGTGTACATTTATGGCACTCCCCTCGATTATTTCCCGAGAGTAACAAAAAAAATAAAGAAAAAATGCAGATTAAAAAAAAAAAATGTGAATGTGAAATAACAGGTGTAAACATATTTCAGTAACAAAGGTAAAGCAACTACAGCGCTTTAAAATCTGAATTATTTCAATGATGTGTTAAAAATCCAATAAGAATAAAGGAATCCTAAATATAACTGAAAACAACCACTACGGTATATATCCCATCGAGATGACACCCCTTATTTATATTAGAAAAAAGAAAAAAGTGGGAGGTTTTTTTTTAAGATGCTTCTAAGAATGAAATGATAGACTAACATCGCTTCCAATTCAATTTCCAAGATTTGTCTATGTACATACATAACAGAAGCAATATAGTCACAGACGAAACAGGGACAGTGCGATGTGTATTGGTCAAGCATGTTCAAATGCAGTAGAAGGGGCAACGGGACACTGACACTAGCCCAAACCTATACCAGCAGTAGACAACTTTCGCACTCCAGATGTTGTGGACAGTATCTTCAATAATGCTCTTACAACCAAAATGCTAGCAGAGCATCATGGGAGATGTGGTTTCCAACATCCAGAGTGCGAAGGTTGCCTACACCTGACCTATACAATGGGTATGGTTTAAATTACTTCAGGGCCCTTATGCTGTCTACCATAAAGAACGTCAGATTGCGTATTAGTACTTTTGGTTAATATAGACGTGTATTAACCTGGCGAGCCTTTAGCCCAAGAAGATATATACATAAAAATATTTATTTCAATCACCCTTGAACACAGAAACCAAGTTATTACATTGTGTTTCCTCTGTTGAAGAAGCCAAGAAGATTACCGTAATTTGTATTTCGGAATTTCCAAAAAGCCTTTTAAATCTTTGACTGTTGTTGCTTCTTTATTTGTACGTTTAATCTACACATAGTATTAATTTTATCATATTAATTTAATTTTTTAAAAATCAGTTTAATCGTGTTGCCAAATGACCATCCATCGTAGAGTAAGGGTTCCTTCTTTAGTTGTTGCAGAACTACAAGTCCCATTATCCTCAGTTGGTCTTTGGTGTGCCAAACACACATTACTGGCTGTTAAGGAAGGAAATTAGAAATAAAACATGTTTTTACTGCAGTCCCATAGTGCATTGACCTGTGTGTGTGTATATAGGGCTGAAACCTTGGAGAAGTTAGTTTATCTTCAAATTGCTCCACCTTTTCATAGCTATCATGCCTTAAGGTAATTCTAGCTGTCAGTTACTGTAGATAAGACAGGGATGGGCAAAGTATGTTTGTTTTATAGAAAGCATACAGTCCTGTCTGGCGTGGGAGTGAGGGAATAAAATGATTTTGTATATTTTATCTTTTTAGTAATAGGTCTATTGTTTTCATTGGTTTATACATTGATAGAAAAAAATATTAAATTAACATTTTATAATAGATTTTTTTATGTATCTATTCACATAACCCTTGATATATTCCCTAAATCCTATCTGTGTGTCTTGTCCAGATTAGAGAATTTGTTGGAATATCCCATATGGAGCACATTGGGTGTAGAATACCCTGTATGAGCTCAAAGTATAACAATTTGGACATTTCTCAAGCAAAAAGTCCTCAAACTGCAATTTTAATTCACATTCACTGTTAGAAGCATAGGATTCCATTTGCACGTGAAATTAATAAAAAAATGCAACGTCAATCCATGTGTATGGGAGGTGATTGGCTAAAAAAACAAAAACACTCCCGGCACTATCCTTAGTGGCAGGTGATGACACATGTGGTGGGTTGTGGATAATTAAATTGTGTGGCTTTCTCAGTGTCAAATTTCATATAAAGCTGAACATTAGTATTCATTAAAGTGAGAATTCAAAGTGAATTTCAAATGTATGTTCACAGTAGTTGAAATAGAACAATTCTCCTAGTTCGGCAACTTTGGCCTTAAAGAGACACTACAGGCATCAAAACAACTTTTGCTTATTGAAGCAGTTTAGAGTATAGCTCATGCCCCTGCAGTCTTGCTGTTCACTTCTTTGCCATTTAGGAGTTAAATAACTTTTGTTCCTATTTATGCAGTCCTAGCCGCACCTCCCGTGGCTGTGACTCACACGGCATGCATGAAAAAAATGGTTTCATTTTCAATCACATGTTAACTTTTTTATCTCCTACACTCAGGGCCGGTGCAAGGATTTTTGCCGCCCTAGGCA